GGAAACGTGTGACTTACACACCTTTAATGGCCACACCTCCTGGCTGGCACCGTCACTTGGGTGAGTGCTCGCCCAGCCTGTGCCCTGAAATCATTTGGTTTTTGAAAAGCTGGTCAGTGGATTGTGTCTTTGATAAATACACTCCTTGGGTGGTGGTCTGCCAGAATTCATGATGTTTAGCCAGCAAATAATTAGCATATTCCCTGTTCGGTAAAGAGTGTGTGTGGTTCATGAGATGTCCGGTAATAATACACGCGTGGGAAGTACATGTGCGGGATCTGGTGAAACCCTGAAGTGGGTGGTTAATGGCTTTGTCGCGGTGTCAGGTCCTGGTTTTGCCGATGTGCTGTGGTTATGTGAGACGTTCCCTGGGGAAGGCCAGCTGGAGCATATATAGGTATAGGAACAGTCTATACTATTTTTACAAACTGCTGGGAGTCTTAAAATACATCAGGATAAAAATTAAAAGTTTGTCTTCGTCTTCAAAGCAAGAATCAAAGGGATCATCTCGTCTGGTTGTTTTCATGCTGGTATTTTAGCACTGGCCTCCCTCCTGTGCCCTCAGCAGCCCATGGGCACTCCTGACAGCTGGTGGGCCCTGGGAACTCTGCCCCTTTGAAAGTGCTGACCCAGTCCCTTCGGATTCCTGATGAGGAAATCAGAGCCCGGAGAAGTAAAGTGCACCACTAGCTAGCAGCTAGGAACAGGAAGAGCCTGGAGCTTTTCAGGACGGTTGCTTCTGTAAATCATCATAAGTCCTAGCTCTTTAGCTAATACTGTGGTTTCTTTTGTCAGACAAGGTGAGATTAATTCAACTGGAAATGAGTGTCTGTGCTCCTGCATTCCATTTCTGTGGAGACAGAGATGAGCTGTCTTGATGGTGGGAGCGGTACACAGGCGGGTTGGCTCGATGGGCTCTGTGTTCACATGTCACCACCCAGTGGGGGGCACTTGCCTGGGAAGGCCACTCCAGGGCAGAGGACGGGAACTCAGGACCCCGGAGGAAGTCCCCTGCCTCCTTGCCACCTGGGCCTCTGATCCAGCCCCCCGTGGACCCCAAAGTTGATCAGCTTTCTTCTTCCTTCCCATTCTGATCCAAGTCCCTAAAGTATTGTTGGAAAACCTTGAGCATCTTGGACTTTACTTCCAAGGATAATGTAATTGTAATAATCTTATATTTACTTAGGGATTTGGGGTTTGCAAAGCCCTATCTCATATGTTCCCAAAGATGGACCCCACCCCCAGGGCTATGACATAGGTATATTTCTGCTTTGTAAACAAGTGACATGACTCGTCCAAAATTGCTGAGTTTGTATCAGGACTAGAGTTCAACCCCAGGTCTACAGAATCCCAGTAGAAGCTCTTTTTGTAGGAGAGGTCCTGTCCATTTTAAAGTACCTGCACACCCGTGAAGATCAGCAAACAGGTGTTACTATTATTGTGTTACTATTATTCTCATTAACATAGGCGTGATCCTTGGCCGCTCATGATTTTGGAGCGTGAGGACTCCAGGACTTGGTCATTCTCCAGACTTCCACAGGAGGTGGAAGGAGTGGTTTCCTCTCTTCCTACACCTCCACACGGTTGGGGCCTGAAGATGCCATCTGGGGATCGGAGGAGTAAGACTTAGATTTTCCTGAAAAGTGAAGCAAGTTGCCCGTGTGCCACATCGGTAGAGATCTGTGTGACAGCCCACTGGCAGGATAGCCACCCCGGAGCCGCCTGGCATGTGCAGGCTCCAGAGGGCTGAGTGCGAGCTGCCGTGCGATCTTTATCTAGGGCCAGTCGTTGGTGCCTTGCTTCTGCAGGGAGACCTGGCTGCTTCCTTTCCCCTAGCATCCTCTTTGCCCTCCACGTGGTAGGATGTAACCTTTGCTGTCAACATGGGGACTGTTAATGGATACTGACACTGTTCTGTGCCCTCAACATTCTGCTGAACATCTGGAAATTGGTGCAATGCTCTCATGGAGTCTAAACCCAGGCTTGAGACCATGCTCACAGCCACTCCTTGATAAGGACGATAATCTCCCAAGGATGGCATTGATTTTTCACACCCTAAGGGACATTTAGGAAGGAAACGGATGACCTGGCTCAGTATTTCCAATCACCCACCCACATCTGCGCCTGGCATCCAGGAGGCACTTACTAGATAACTGTCAACTAACCTTCTCCGGCAGTGGCTCTCAGTCCTTAGCGTACCGGCCAGTATTAGGATCACCTGAAGGGCTTGTTGACACATGAAGCTTGAGGCTGCACAGGGTTTCTGATTCAGTTGGTCTGGGGAGGAGCTAAATAATTTCAGACAAGTTCCAGGTCATGCTGGTGCCATGTAGAGAAAACCGTGGTCCGGAAGAGATTGGCAGAGGTTTTCTGTAAGGGCCAAATTGCTAATAATTTTAGGCTTTGTAGCCATATTTTAGGCTTTGTGGGCTCTGTCATTACTTCTCAACTCTGCCCTTGTAGCCAAAGAAAATATATAAATGAATGAGCATAGATGTGTTCCAGTAAAACTTTATTCATAAAACAGGTGGTAGAGGGGCGCCTGGGTGGCTCAGTGGGTTAAGCCTCTGCCTTCGGCTCAGGTCATGATCTCAGGGTCCTGGGATCGAGCCCCGCGTCGGGCTCTCTGCTCAGCAGTGAGCTTGCTTCCCCCTCTCTCTGCCTGCCTCTGCCTACTTGTGATCTCTCTCTCTCTGTCAAATAAATTTAAAAAAAAAAAAGAAAAGAAAAAACAGGTGGTAGACTTGTTTAAAAAAATGTTATATTGGGGCACCTGGGTGACTCAGTAGGTTGTCTGCCTTTGGCTCAGGTCATGATCCTGGGGTCCTGTGATGGAGCCTCCTATGGGGGTTGGTGTCCCTGCTCAGAGGGGAGTTTGCTTCTACCTCTCCCTCTGCCCCTCCCACTCGCTTATGCTCTCTCTCTCGCAAACTATTTGTCTCTCAAATAAATAAATAAAATCTTTTTGAAATGTTGTGTTGAAAATCTAAAAGCAAGAATGTTAAGAGCCAAATCTTCGTTCTGGGTGGATTTTTTTTTTTTTTTAAGCTCTTGGATGAGAATCAGTGTTAAAGATGCAAACATTGGTCAAATCCTAGCTCTATTATTCACTTCCCACGTGACTTTGAAGGCCACTAATGTCTCTGTAGAGAAGAAGATAACCATACAATTTATCGGGTCTGAGTGATACGTGTTTCATGTAATGTTCTTTATACTATTGCGCATGATTGAAATATTCCAGGATTTTCAAACTCATGACTTTTAAAAAGTAATTACAGTTGACCCTTGAACAACACAGATTTGAACTGCATGGATTCACACACACACGGATTTTCTATAGTACATTAGATATACTTTATGTTTTTCTCAACATTTTTTCTCTAGCTTACGTGATTGTAAGACTACAGCATACAAAATATGTGTGTATCGACTGTTTCATGTTCTTGGTCAGTTTTCCAGCCAACAAATGGGGGAGGGAGTCAAAGTGATACATGGATTTTCAACTGTGGGAGTGGGTGTTGATGCCTTTAACCCCCACATTGTTCAAGGGTCAACTGTATAATTCATTGGCATATGTGGCATATGTGGCTTGGATTTTAGGTTTCAAAGTCAACCAAAAGATGAATCACCTTACAAAATCAAAATCCCCTTTGAAATGCTCTCAAACCACCAGCACCTAGGCTTTTAGAAGGTGGAAAGCTAGGAGTAGCTTTCTTTGTGTATCTTTGCACATGAAGGAGAAGTCGGGCTCACGGGGTCTGCAGTGGAGCTGTTAGTCTCCTGCCCTTCTCCCAAACCTTTCTCCTCTGTTGTCTTCCTTAAAATTTAGTTAATGGCAGCTCTATATTTACTGCTGATTGGGCCGCAAAGAATGATTCAGGAGGAGGAATTTAGTAAGGAAGTATCCTGATATGGACTTGAAGATGAAATTGTTTTATATTTCAGGCAGGACCTAAAGATCTTTTGGCTCAACCCTCTGCTTCTGCATGTCAGTCAACGGAGGTCCAAGATGTAGAGGCACCGATCAAAATAGATGGACCCATCTTTGCATTTAATAAGACTGACTTGTTTTGTCCTCATAACAGCCCCGTAAGATAAGCACTGTTAATTTCCCAGTCTACAGATGAGGCAGAAAGGATAAGTTGTTTGTCCAAGGTCATGCTTCTGGGAGGTAGTAGCCATGGGACTGAACCCAGGCAGTCTGACTGCAGAGTCTGTGCTCTTTGGTTATGACACTCAGCTGTATATAATGTTGATTTCCTTATCTGTACTCTGCGAACTGAGGAACAAAAAGGCTACTTGAGAGAAAGCTGTCTCGTACCTTCAGTAATTTGTATGCCATGCTAGGGAAGGTAATGAAATTGCAGCAGGGGGCTAGGGGAAAGTGTGCTTTCAGTGCAGTTTCCAATTTTCACCTCATTATCCTGGAGTTTGCCCATGCAAATGCGTATAATGCTTTGGAAATAGTGCAGAAGCAGGAAGAGGTCTCTGTTGGTTTGGCTGCATATCTGGTCTTAATGCTGTATTTCAAGAAAACTTGCCCAAAAGGAGATCACCCTAGGACCACTGAGTGGATCCAGGGTCACTCAGTTCACAAATACACCCTGATTTTTGTGTCCACCATGTGCTGAAGCCTGTGCTGGGCACCAGATACCACGATACGTCTTAAACCCCCTGCCCACCCGCAGGCACTTTTACGAATTTAGGTCCCAAAATGGCATCAGCGCTGGAAACCCTGGTGTGTGCACTTACACCCTGTAAAGAAAGGAAGCACGGGTATTTACTATATGGTCCAAAATGGGCAGCCTATTAAAACACGATGCTGTGAAGTGTCCCCCTGCCCCACCCCCTGCTGTATTATCCCAGAGAATAGCATACAGTCTCATATTGAACCTTGGGCATGGGACAAGGAGGAAATGGTGGGACCTGACCTTGGCTTTGTCCAAAAATGTGTTCCTTTGATGATGGAATAAACAATGTGCTTCTTCTCCCCCAACCAGGACCCCAGAAGCAAGCACAAGTTCAAAATCCACACCTATGGAAGCCCCACCTTCTGTGATCACTGTGGCTCCTTGCTGTATGGACTTATCCATCAAGGGATGAAATGTGACAGTAAGTAAGTTTTCTTTTCCAGTAGATGGTGAGGCTCTGCAGCTGATACCCTGGGTTTTCAAGAGCACCTCAGCTTCCGGACTTTTTCCACGTCCACTCATCAATAAAAGAACTCGTTCAAATACGTACCACACCAAAAAAAGCGTAGGACCGCTCCACCGTCAAAATACTCCTCTATTAAAATCCTTACTTGCCTAATTGTGAACCAAAACCAAAAACAAACAAACAAACAAAAAAAAAAAAAAAACACCAACCCCACCCGATTTATAAAGAAAGTTAGCGCTGTCACAGGGTTTTTTTGTGGTAGAAATCTTCAGTCACTGTAAAATACAGGATAGTCAAACCCCAAAGCAAATGCCATGTGTTGAAAGAAGAATCCCCACCTCCAGATTCCGCATTTGGTTCGGCTTCAAAATAAGCTCAGCAACCGTAGTCATTATCTTCCTGTGTCTCTAATTAGTGGGTGGACTGTGGAAAAATCCAGTAGGCTCTCCTTAAAACTGAAACTACGATGAAAATGAAAACCAGACCGAATTTCACTCGCCCTCCTGCACATTCGCGGACAGACCAGATTTCTATCAGTCCAGTCAGAGAGGGAACCCCCGAAGGCCACAGACAAGGATGGCATCAGCCCCTCCATTCCTCCCTTTCTGTTCTGTATGTATCATCCTCAAGCACCAGGTAGAAAGGAAGACAAACCTGGAAACTCTTCACTTTGATAATTCTTATAAGATTTCCCAGGCCATTTACATGTTTAAATAAAAATGTATACTTTCAGGATAAAAAAAAAAAAAGGTAATTACTGAACCTGTTTTTCTAGTCGACAGGGAAGTGTTATGGAAATGTCAATATGTTGCCATTCATTAATTCCTTCTATTATGGCCAAAGCTTTCTAGGCATATGCTACATGGGGCAAAGACAACGTGTGTATAAAAATCAAGATGAAAGGAACATTATAGAGCAGATGAACAGTTTCTCAGCACACAGGAGTCCTTTACCTTGGAAGCTGTCAGATTTGACAGCCTAAACAAAACCTCTGTGATGATCCAGGCCAGTCGTTTTCTCTGATTTGAGAAGCCCTCATGCTCCAAAGACGTGGTTTTCAGGGGTTCTGCAAGTGCGAATCCTAAGTGCATTTGTAAATCTACTGTTAACTCTTTTAAAACCGCAGGACACAAGTGAATTCTTGAATGTGTGACCCACTGGAGCTTGACTAGTTGGAGGAGATGGTGGAAACACTGTTGCCAGCTTCACTGGTTGGGCAGAATGTGTAACCACATTTCTCCCGCCACGTCCGCTTCCCCAAGGAGTCTGCCAGCCTGCATGTTGCTGGGCAGTGTTTAGCCTTTCTAGGTACTCTCCTGTTACGGAGCTGAACAGTGCTAAGAGAGAGCAGAAGTGAGTGCAGGACTGAGACAGCCGGTTTCAAAATTTTGTTTGGATCCGAGGGCTTTATTGGTGATCGATGAATGTCTTTGTAAGAGATGTATCAATTTGCATTGATCTACTGACTTTTTGCTGATGAAGTTAACACTTATCTGGTTTATGTGTTAGGGCTCTGCTTAAGATTTTACTTGAAAAATGGGTTCCATTACTAAAAAAAAAAAAAAAAAAAGTTGAAAACCACTGACCTGGACCAGTGCTCTTTGCTTTGTCTTCTTGTCCTTGGAGTCATAGGGCCTCTGGGGCTGCACCCTGCACCCTATGCTCCTTCCTCAAGGGAGGCTGAGAAGCAGATGGGTGCCCAGCCCCTCCCTTCACTTCTGCAGGCAAGAAACCATTCCCTCTGCCTTCACACGTTGCAGGGTCAGAATGCCATATACAACTCTGCTTAGCAGGGCAAAGACAGGAGCTACCCCTTGTCCATACCAGCCTCTTAGTTTGCAGGGCAGGTAACAGAATCAGCGAGCCACCTGAAGTTCCCAAAATCGAAAGCCACTCATGGTGGAGCCAAGACAAGAATACAACCCAGGGCGCTCCCACCTCCCTGGCTCCCCTCCCCGTGGCACTTCTCCCTCCCGGAGAGGATGGCATTAATTTCTTTGAAGTTGCAATTCTGCCCTGGCACTTGAAGCTAGGAGTTGGTGAACATAGGTCCCATCAATAGCCCACCTTGTCAAGAAGCAGATGTCCCTTACAGCACAGCAGATGTCCCTTTCTATCTTCTGCGAGGAGGTGGGGCACAGTTTGGGAATAGAAACGTAAGCACGATCCACACTGGTGGAGACAAGGATGGTTCTTTCCTCATTGTGTGCATTATCCTGCGTCCCATATCGAATCCTAGCAAATATGCATTATTTGTGATGCTTTTGGCAATCTGCCTCACCACGTTAAACACTGAAAAGGAAACAAGCACGCGGGCTCTACCTTGAAGGTTACGGAAGAGCCTTGTCGCGTCCTGTCGAGGACGTGTGAGGATTCCAGTGGCCCTGGCTCCTCTGGGAAGCCTGGAGGAACAGGGACGATACACAGGATTCTTTTCGGGGTTTCCTTGGTTCACTGTGCAGGGACTGATCTTTTCATTCCTCCCTGGCTCACCCACGTAATGTCAGCTGGTAGGGAATGGCTTATCAGCCGGGCGTGTATTTGTTTTACTTAGAATAATATTTAAATATTTGCAGACAGGTTTAAAATCTCAAATACAAGTTCTTAAAAAAAAAAAAAGAAGAAGCAAGTTACTTAAGCCTTCTTGAAAATACAGAGTTAACTAAGGAAAGAAATTTTATGACTTTCCTGTACTCAGTCCACAGAGTCTCACCCTTCCCGAACGGCAAGCTCAGACGGGCAGAAGATATTCTTTGACAACAAATATCCTCTGTTTAAAATTTGCATATAATTCACCTCTGCATACATGCAATATTAATTGGCCTGGGCTTTGTATCCATTTACCTGTGTGAATTTTGCCTGGTGTTAAATATCTGAAGCATGGATGAGCAGGCCAGGGTATTTCGCTTCGGTTAAGACTGGACAAATATGGCACGGGTATTTTAAGGATATTGTTATTCACATGAAGCCTGTGTTGTAAGGGACATCTGCTAACAGTTCTCCGTGTCACCAAAAACATGATAGCAAAGTCTCAAGTTAGAGGGTAGCTCCCCGGCACTTGCGCTCGCACACCACAACACTGACGTGAGCCCGTCTGCCAGCCTCACCCTCTGCTGTCCCGATTTGCAGCCTGTGACATGAACGTGCACAAGCAGTGCGTGATCAACGTGCCCAGCCTCTGTGGGATGGACCACACGGAGAAGCGGGGCCGCATCTACCTGAAGGCCGAGGTCACCGACGAGAAGCTCCACGTCACCGGTAAGACGTGCCCGCCGAGGGGTGAGGCTCGCAGCTCCTCTGCGGGCGTTCGGGTCAAGGTCAGGCACGCCATTGCCTCAGAGACGCTCAGATGCAGAGCCCCCGATTTCCCACGAACACATCCCCGCCGCCCCCCACCCCCCCGGAGACTGCACCATCCGCCTTGACCTCCCAGCTACTGCCCGGCCATCCCGAGTCCTAACTGCCGTGTGGGTTGGGGAACTCTGACACCTGGTCAGTGTGTTGTCCCCTGGTGCCGGGGGGACAGAGAAGCAGGGGGGAAGGCGGATGGGTGACCCAGGCATGTCATGGCATCAGGCTGCGGCCACCTATTCAGCCCATGCTAAGGGTAACACCAACGATACACCGCCGTCAGGTTCTCTGGTTACGCTTCCCCCGTGTTTGGCACGGGGCTGAGCACGTCACCGTAGAGAATGTCAGGGAAGTTCATTTCCTCAGACCACTGCTCCTATACCCCTGCCACGCTGTTGGTGGGGACCGCTCTGTCCTCCGGGCCGGCAGCCAGGGCCCCTCTTGTGGCCACCAGTGCCCCAGCCTGACACTCGTGCTCTGCAGAGGCTCCCACCTTGTCAGAGTCCTGGGGGTAGGGGGGGTCATGCGGAAAACACACAGCTTAGGAGAAAATGACCAGAAAGCAGTATGCGCCAAGGGATTCAGAAGCAGAAAGTTAGAATGCCTGTTGGCTAAACGTTTCCCTGTTTTCCCAACACTTTATAAAGCCGCTGCTGTGGGCAGTACAATAGGCCTCGCAGGGAACCATTCGGAGCTTCATGGTGAGGGGCAAAGCCCACTGAGAGGCAAGAATGCCCTGGTGAGAGTGTCTGAACAGTCAGCCCTCGTGCGTGTTGTTTCTGAACGCAGCAGAGCACACTGCACGCTGGATGGGCCCCGTGCCTTCTCCTGTAATAAAAGCGGCAGCCGTATGGGGCTGCTTTGCTGCTTTGAGCTTTCCATGGTCTTCTCTGAGCCTCCAGAAGCTCACCTGTCCCAGATGCCCCGGCTGGGATGGGGGCACATGGTACGCGGAAGAGGAAGGACAGGTCCTGTCACACAGGCACAGCGATTATTGTCCTCATTACCCCGTCATGGCCAAGACTTGAACTTGATTCACGATTCTGCAGGATCATCTTAGGGGACAGCACCCTTCACTGAGTTAGACATAGGTTTTCCACACTCAAAAGCCAACGAGTCTAACTTAGAGCAACAATCTAGGTCAAGGGTCTTGAGAATCCGTCTAAAATGCTTTGCATAGATTGAGCTCTGCTCTATGAATGGGAATCCGGCAAGAGGTTAATAATAACAGCAATACCAGCCAACACGAGTGGTCCCCACAAAAGGGGCACTTTCTGAACAGGACGCGTAGTTAACTTCTGTAAACCTAAGTGGTCATTTACTTGGTTATCCTGACTTTAGAGATGAAGGCATCAAGAACTTACATCACTGGCCCAAAGTCAAGCAGGTGGTTCATTTAATAGTTGGATGTTTAATTGCTACAAGCAGAGATAATATGTTTCAATGATAGTATCAATAAGAACTGTAACATTGTCTTAATTCTGGCTGCTGTCATAAATACCATGGACCAGGTGGCTTAAACACAAACATTCATTGGTCACAGTTGTGGAAGCTGGAAAGTCTAAGATCAAGGAGCTGCTAATTTGGTTCCCCATGAGGACTGTCCTTTCTGGTTCGTAGATGATTGTCTAGGTGTGTCCTCACTTGGGGATGGAAAGAGAGAGGAAGCGAGTGCTTTGGTGTGTCTTCTTATAAGAACACTGATCCTATCAAGAGGGTCCCACTGTTGGAATATAATTATTTCCCAAAGGCCCCATATTCAAGGGGCCCAGGATTCCCATTAAAGGTTAAGGGTTAGGGGTTCAACATATGAATTCTGGGAGGACACATAATTCAGTCCATAGCAAATCTATGTTTAAAATATGGTTGTAATTTGTGTTAGGGAAGTCTAATCCTAAGTATGGAAACCCGAGCTCAAGGAAGTAACTAATAGGTAATGATTTGTCTAAAACTTTTAGTTGAGAGTAATTGTAGGTTATCAGAATCAGAATTAACTTTGACGTAGTGAGAACACAAATATAAATAATAAGCCATAACAGATGGAGCTCATGGTCCAAATTAAAAAAAAATTTTCAGAAGTAGTACAGGGTCCCCTTCACCTAGTCCTCCTGCCCCCCAGAATTAATATTCTTCCATAACCATAGGTGAAATATCAAAGTAGACACATTTTTATTTCTTACTTTCTTTTTTAAAGATTTTTTTTTTTAATTTGAGGGAGAAGAAAGAGAGCATGAGCGGGGAAAAGGGGCAGACTCCCCACAGCTGAGAAAGGAGCCTGACGCGGGGCTCGATCCCAGGACCCCAGGATCCTGACCTGAGCTGAAGGCAGATGCTTAACGGACTGAGCCACCCAGGCACCCCTCAAAGTAGATACATTTTAAATTTGTAAAAAAACAAAAACAAAAACATAGGTACCTGTGTACTTATAGTTACTAGAAATTATTTTAAAGAGCCAAAGAGAAGACATCAGACTTCTCTTATTGCAGTATGAAAAGACTACCAGGGATACAAAGCCAAGTCCCTTTGGAGCAGGAGCTGCTGGTAACGGCTCCCTCCTCCTGCATGCCCTGCCCAGCCTCCTAACCCAACAGTCTGACACAAATTTGTCTTGACACGTGTTTTCAACAATAGCTAACATGCATTGAATACTTGGTGTGTACTTACTCTTCATGAGACTGGACCTTTCTTTGTACTAAGTGCTTTCTATCCCTTGTTTCATTGACCCCTCCAATAGTGCCATAAAGTGCTATTATTATCCTCAATTTTGAGATGTGCAAATGAGCTGAGAGAAAGGAAGAAATTGTTCCGAGTTATAAGGTAGAAAGCGATGGTGCTGGAGCTTGAGTCCACGTCCATCTCCCAACCCCTGGCTTTCAGCCCCAAAGCTGTGAAACCCCCCCTAGCTCTCTTGTATTAATTAAAGACTCTCCTTTCGAATAATAACAAACCCATAAATAGTCACCAAACCCCTGTTCAGCACTCCACAGGTTCTCTGGGGGTCCAGAAAGTCCCAATGCGAGATTAAAACCAAGGGAGCAAAAAAGTAACTCATGAAGGAATTAATGGACAAGCCAAGTGCATGCAAAGTTAAACGTTCGATTATGTGCGTGCTGAACGGTGCGTCGTGGAGAAGGGGGCTGAGGACCGCAGAGATCTGAGAGGCAGGGGGAGGAGAGTTGCAGTAAAGAGCCCAGATGGAATGGCAGAAGCAACCTGGCTTTAATGAGGGTGCAGGTATAAAGAATGAGCCATGGATAGCCAAGCTTATGTCCAAATGCAAGTGGTACCTTAGAGAATGCGTCTTACCCCTGCACGGCCGTGTTGATGGTTAGGTTAGCTCAGCTTCATTTTACCTGTGCAGAATCACTCACACGGACCATAATTCCCAAAGTAAAATCAAACTCCCAACAGACTCCTGCTTTGGGATAGAAATCGGCCTTTCAAAATCAGAGATGAATTTCCTTTCTAGATCAGCACGGTATTTGTGGGAAAGGCCTCCACTTTCATGGTATATTTTTATTTTTTGCCTCTGGGCAGTGGTGCTGATGTTATCTGAACAGTGTCATTTTTATTTCTCTCAATATGCGATTTTAATAGATTTTCTACATTCTTGTGTGCTTTTTTATTTGGTTTTTGGAGGAGTGGTAAAAAAAAAAAATTCCCTCATGGGAACAAATTTTCAATTTAATGTTGTAAGTAAATGGAAAAAATATCATGGTTTACAGCTGCTCCAGGAGCACATGTCTCCCACAAATAGATTATTCTGCAGAAGAGTCTCATTTTTCTCAAATACTCTGGGTGGTTTATTTGGCGCAGAGCTCGAAGTTCTCCAGCGGGTCCTATGGGGGAGGGGAGGGCTTGGGGCAGGATCTGAGGCTCCTTGCAGCCGACGGGTCACATTCTCCTCAGTGGGTCTACCTTCTAGGACAGTTTGCCCCTCGGTGCCTGTGTCTTACCTCCCCAGCCATCGAGACTTTTCATTCGTCATGGCATTGCGATGAAGCGGTAATAGTGCCTCTGTGTGTCCTGGTTCCATCTCCTAGAGCCTGCAGAGTCACGGCAGTGAGACTCAGCTTTGGGTCACAATCATTGATTTTTTTGATCACCTCTTTATTATACATTTATTGAGCATGTGTTCAGCTCTCTCAAGGTGCCAAGGAAGCAACGATAATTAAGACATGGCCCTTATTGTGGAATGTGTGGTCTTTGAAGGGAGGCAGGGGAGGGGACGGATTAAGACATAAAAAAGGGACCACCGGGCGGCATGCCAGGTGCCTTTAAGTGCGGTGGGCGTTGAGGAGAGCAGAGCCTCACCTGCCAAGCGGGGAAGCTGCTGAGACTTCCACTCAGCCAGGGAACTGGGACGCTGGGAGGAAATTTCAGATAAAGATGCAGAGCCATGGGAGGGCACTGCTGTGTTCGGAAAACACGCAGTCCAGGACTCAGGGAATTTGGAGCATGAGGTGGGGAGAGCTGGAGGGAAATTCCTTTCCATTTTCAAGAGATCAAGGCTATAGTCCTCCCAGTTTACAGGTTGTACGGTTCTTAGGGGTCATGTCATATGGGCTGTAAGTTAAATATTTCTTTTTCAAACGGGGATTTTCAGTTCCAGGTGGCTGTGCTTGCAAAGATAGGACATCCATCCTAGCCTGAAACCCGGACCTCACCCCAAGGTTCACAGTGAGCCTCGGCTTTTCTTTGTCAGTGCTGGGAAAGGGGGCAGAGCAGGTAGCCCACTGGTGGCCTAAAAGCTTTATAAGGATGCTTTTTCCCAGTGGTAGACAGGCTCGCGGACTATAATCATCAGCGTGCGGCTGCCAGCAAGGAGTTGGACCGAACTGCTTGCTTAAAGGGAAAGGTATTACTCAGAGGTAATTCCTATGAAATAAAATCTTGGCTGTGGGATT